TTAATATTGTTAAAGATTATTTTCGGGACCAGCTCTTGTCCTTCATTTGAAGGCAGGGCCTAAATAGTAATGTAAGTATGATGTGTGAGGTCCAACAGGGTTCCGTCCTCGACCCCACACTTTAGAACATTGCGTACGATCGGGTCATCCGAGTCCCGCTGCCGGGGGGTCTCGTGTTGTTTGCAATGCAGATGACACATCCATTCTTCAACGGGGCGGGACCTGTCTTGCGCACTGTTAGCGGCTGAACGGGACCTAGAGGTCATAGTGAATGAGATTAAGGGATTGGGCCTGAAAGTGGAGCTACAGAAAACGGATGCAATGGCCTTCCCTGCCTCTGCCTTAYGCAGACGCAGGATTGCTCCCCCCCCCCGGTGATTAGATACAAGGGGGTTTGTATTGCAGTGAAGCCCAGTGTAAAATACCTAGGCATAGTGTTAGATTCAGTTATGTCATTTAGGCCCAATTTTCAGGCCTTAATCCTGAATGTGGAAGGGATCCTTCGGTCTATTAGCAGGATCCTTCCGAACCTCCACGGGCCGAGGGAGAAGAAGCGGCGTCTCTAATGCAGCGTGATCCACTCCGTGCTCCTCTATGGTGCTCCGGTGTGGTGGCGCGCTGTTGTGGAGGATCAGAGGAACAGGCGTGCTGTTCGGGCCTTGCAGAGAAAGGTAGCGATCCGGGTGTGTTGCGCCTATAGGACGGTTTCCTTCCAAGCGGCAATGATGGTCGCGGGGATTATTCCCCTCAATCTTCTGGCGCCACGACTGGCGGAGGTGTATGTGACCCTTAAGAAGGCGGAGGGACCTGTCCCTCCAAATATTAGGGCGGCACTGGGCGCTTTTGCCAGGATGGGAGCGATTGCTGCATGGAACGAGAAGGAGATCGGATGGATAGGAGTTACAGGAGAGACAGGGGTGCGGGTTAGGGCAGCCATTGCTGACAGGTTGGTTGAGTGGGTTGAGAGGCCGTACTCCATAGGTACGACCTTTCACACTACTCAGCTGATGACTTGCCATTGCTGCTTTCCTGCGTTCCTGTATGGAATAAGAAGAACAGACTCCCCGCGGTGCTTTCTTTGCGGGGCGGATAGAGACGATGCGAAACACACTCTGATCGAATGCCCAGCGTGGACAAATGCGAGGGATTCCATGGTCAGAGAGAAGGGGGGGGGGTGCAACTTACCCTTTCTGGGATAGTCAGGTTGTCCCTGGATACCCCGGGGGCGTGGGTTGCATTCCAGTCCTTTTCAGGACTTGTGATGAAGGCCAAGGACGACGCGGAGAGAGAGAGAGAGCGAATGTTTCTCAATAGGAGAAGAATGATTGCGAGGCCCCAAAGGAGAATGCCTCCTAGGAGGCCCCCCCGGGCAAGGTTTCGGACAGCTTTAGCGGCGTCTGACCTGGTCTAGTGCGTCGCTTTCCCTTAAAGGAGAATGAGCATGCTGATGCATGTGTTTTTGAATCCGACCATTGCATCTTGGGATRGATGGTCGGGTATGTACATATATATAAATGTAGAATAAGTGTTAGTTATTAATTAGTTACATAGTAGTTATTTAGTTGATTAGTTATTTGATAAGGTATGAGTGATATGTATGAATGAGGATGAGAGCATGGCGAACCGGACAGGCTCATCGGGATGGGGGAGTAAGTGTGTATGTATTGTGTTTGTATCACAGATCCGCTTCTCCCATCCAGCAAAGGAATGTTTTACACCAGGTGGGATTTGATTCGGTAAAAATCCGACACTCCCTTGGGTACCGGGCCCAAAGAGCCTATGAAAGGTTTTCTCCTGACGAAAAAATAAAAAAAAAAAAAAAAAGGGTTGCGTCAGGGTTGGAACGTCAAGGTTGCTTTAGGGATGCGTCAGTGCTCGAACGTCGGATAGGCTTTAGGGATGCGTCAGGGTTTGAATGTCGGTGTTGCTTTAGGGATTCGTTAGGTTCGAAACGTTATGGTTGCTTTACTGATGCGTCAGTGTTGTAACGTCGTGGTTGCTTTAAGGATGCGTCAGGGTTTGAACGTCGGGTTTGTTTTAGAGATGCGTCAAGGTTGGAACGTCAGGGTTGCTTTAGGGAAGGATCGTCGTTGTTGCTTTAGGGATGCGAAAGGGTTAGAACGTCAGGGTTGCTTTAGAGGTGCGACAGGGTTTGAACGTCGTTGCTTTAGAATTGGAACCTCGGGGATGCTTTAGGGATGCGTCAGGGTTGGAACGTCGAGGTTGCTTTAGGGATGCGTCTAGGTGGGAACGTCGGGGTTGCTTTCAGGTAGGGACGTCCGGGTGCTCTAGGGATGCGTCAGGGTAGGAATGTCAAGAATGCTTTACAGAAGCGTCAGGGTTGGAACGTCGGGATTGCTTTAGGGATGCGTCAGGGTTGAAACGTCAGGGTCGCTTTAGTGATGCGTCAGAGTAGGAACGACAAGGTTGCTTTAAGGATGTGTCAAGGTCGAAACGTCAAGGTTGCTTTAGGATTACGTCAGAGTAGGAACGTCGGGGTTGCTTTAGGGATGCGTCAAGCTAGGAACGTCGGGGTTGCTTTAAGGATGCGTCAGGGATGGAACGTCGGGGTTGCTTTAAGGGGGCGCTAGGGTGGAATCGTCAGGGTTTCTTTAGGGTTGGAACGTCAGGAATGCTTTCGGGATGCGTCAGGGTTACAACGTCGGGGATGCTTTAGGAATGCGTCAGGGTTCGAACATCAGGATCGCTTTAGGGATGCTTCAGAGTTGAAACGACATGGTTGCCTGTATGATGTGTCAGTTTTGCGTCAGGGTTGCGTCAGGGTTTGAATGTAAGGTTTGCTTTAGGTTTAGAAAATCGGGGTTGCTTTAGGGATGCGTCGGGGTAAAACGTATGGGTAGTTTTAAGGATGCGGCATGGTTGGAACGTCAGTGTAGCTTTAAGGATGAGTCAGGGTTGGAACGGCGGGGATGCTTTAGAGAATCGTCAGGGTTAAATCGTAGAGATTGTTCTAGGGATGTGTAGGGGTTGGAACGTCAAGGTTGCTTTAGGGATGCGTCAGGTTTGGAACGTCAAGGTTGCTTTAGGGATACGTCAGAGTTGGAACGTCAGGGTTTCTTTAGGGATGCGTCAGGGTTGGAATGTCAGGGTTACTTTAGGGATGCGTCAGGGTCGGAACACCAGGGTTGCTTTAGGGGTGCGACGGGGTGGAAACGTCGGGGTTGCTTTAGGGTTTGAACGTCGGGGTTGCTTTAGGGATGCGTCAGTGTTCCGTCAGGGTTGCGTCTTGGTTTCGTCAGGGTCCCCCCCGTGGGTAGGGGGTAGTAGAATACTCCCACAGTATTCCCTGCTTGTCCTAATAGGCGACTAATAGGGAAAGTGTGAATTGTGTGTGTATGTTCTGCGTAGCTATTTCTTTCTGTAACTCTTACTATCCCCTCTTTTCTATTTTTTCTTGTCTCTTACTTCTTTCGTTTCGTTTCCTTTCCTCTGGGCAGGTGCCTTCCTATTAAAAATATAAATATGGATAGTACAAGCTTGGAGAAAAACCCCTGTGGGTGGAAAACTCACACAACGGCCGTGCTTGGGGGTGTTAGGACAGGCAATCCATCGTCGACATCATGCACCTGTCAGGAGTCTGTTATGGCAACCCGGCCCAGACTCTGGTTAATGCGTCGGGAAGTTGCTCGCGGGTGGGCAACCTGGCCCGCTAATCGACTGACACTACAGAAAGTCGAGGACACTCCGTGGAGGAGGGGCGAAAGTGTGCAATTCGTAGCATCGAGGATCTGGGGACTGACACCATACCGGTCAGGACYCACAAGAGGGCGAGGCCTATCCTGTACTCTTTGTCATCAGAGGACGAGGTGATCAACCTCACTAACATCGAAGAGGTCCTACAAGAGGGGTCATTGGTTTCCAATTTAAAAACTGGAAGGCTGATAGACACGATTATAGAAAACATCGCTGAGGCCGAGGTCAAAAGGAAGACTTGTGGCAATATAAAAGGGGAAATATCCGGTAAAATGAAAAGTTGTCATTTAGGGGTGATTGAGATAACCAGGGAATTGCAGGAACGTAATAGGATAAGCTGCGGCTCTGACACTCAAGAATCCTTACAACAACTAAGGGCAAAAGCAAAAGACACTAGAAACAGGCTTAAACAATTAGAAAAAGAGTGTGTGCGTCTTCGGCGTGAAATTTAGCGCAAGGACGCAATAACTGATAAAATGTCGAGGGGCAAGTGAAGAATGTTCCAGTTAAAGTTGCAGCAAACCAGGTCAGATCCTTTGCGGAGGAGAGACTGATTGCTGCCAGAAAGGAAGAGGAATTTAACAATAAAATGATGGGGAAAGTTTTTACTGAGCTTTCTAGGTCTGTGATACAGATTTAGCAAGAATTAAGGGATATGAAAACAGGACAAGGTCAATATGCCCAGGTTGTAGCCCGACCGAGGGTTGCTCCCTCACCACCGATGACAACACCTCTGATCACTGTCCCGGACGGGGATGTGTTTATCGAGGTAAGAAGAAAAAACAAAACTGCTACGCCTGCTGGAGGGCCACTGCCTACGCGGGATGTCAGAAAGGATGACCCTCCCGGTAGTCTTCGCGTGGGAGGGGAAGGCCCTTCCGCGGGACTACAGTAGAATAAGAAGTAGAAGAAAAAAAAGAAGAAGACCAGAAGAATTAGGGAGACCGCGGCGGTATCACTCATGTGTGCAGAAGGTTCCTCATATATGGAAGCCCTTAAGAAGTTAGAAACGGGTGTAAACCTCGGAGAAATAGGGGCAAATGGGCTCTCGTACAAACGGGGTTTGACGGGATCCTTTATCTGGCAGGTCCAGGGAAGGGATGCCAGTGTTAGGGCTGACAGACTTGCACAGGCAATGAACAGGGCCCTACCGGAAGCAAAGATAGCTAGGCCCTAAAGGACTAGCCCCATAAAATTAGTGGGGATCTATCCGGCTACCACCCTGACGGCGATCAGGTGCGGACTAAAGAAAGGTTAGGGCAGGATTTGACCCTAACCTTATCAGCATGGGGGAAGTTCACTCTGGCAGGGGCAGTCGCTATAAGGTCACAGTCGTGGCCCCATCGGTACTGTGCCAAGCTGCTATTGATATGGGTGGTATACTTGTGGGGTGGAGTAGGGTCCGGGTGTTCCCGGAAAGGCCTAGACCACTAAGGTGCTACAGGTGTCTGGCGAGAGGCCACGTGGCTGCTTCTTGTATGCACCAGGTGCCAGGATGGGTGTATGTTTTAGGTGCGGGGAACCAGGACATGTAGCAAAGGACTGTGAGGACAAACCAAGGTGCCCGATCTGTGTGGTAGCGGGGCGGTCCCGAACCTCGAACAGAGCTGGGTCATGGGAGTGTCCATTTGTGCCTCTTACTAAGGGAGAGACATCATACTAGGGGGAGTTGCTGACCGTCAAGGCAAATCGGGATGTGCAAAAAACGTTCCAGGAAGTGCGGGCGAAGAAACAATAGTACAAGGTGTTGTAAATAGTGCGGGTGTGAGTGTGGATAATGACATGGAGGTTGAGCAGGTGAGCTCTGCCCCTCCATGTAACTAATCAAACTATTTCCGACAATATCCACGGTCATACAGGCCAATTTAAATCATGCGCGTCGCGCCCAGGACTTATTGGGCCAGCGGATGAGAAAGATTGGTGCGGACATTGCGATAGTTTCGGAGCCGTGGTGGGTCCCTCCGAGGGATGAGAAATGGCTCTCATCATTGGGGGTGTCGCCTCTCTTTGCAATTGTCGCGGGCAAAGGCGAAAGAACCTGTAGCTTGGTGCGTCGGGGTTTGTTTTTTGTAGCTGTTAAATGGGGGAACTCGCTGGTAGTTTCAGTCTACTTCCTCCCCAGCGAGAATTTAAATAGTTTTAGTAGACTTCTTGATGAGCTCGAAGAGCTCTTAGGTACATTTCCTGCTATTCCAGCATTAGTTGCCGGGGACTTTAATGCCCKGTTCCCAAGATGGGATCCGGAAGGCAGAAGTAACCCAAGGGGCCAGTTACTCTGTATGTGGGCCAATAGGTTAAACCTAGGCCTGGCTAATCAGGCTGGTCACCCCACGTGCGTTCGACCGCTAGATTCGAGCGTTGTAGACCTTACGTGGGGGTCTATAGCGGCTAGTGTCCGCTCAACGGATTGGAAGATGGATAAGGCTGAGTCCCTTTCGGACCACTTATATGTTATATTTAAGTATATGCACGAGGCTGCAGGATTCCGAAGCCTTCGCTCTAGGAATGAAATATTCCCTAAATGGGACGCGAGGGCTGTGRRAGAGKACAGGYTTGCGGCAGCCCTTRTCTCCRGTGAGTGGATACGRGACGATAGTGACAATGTGCGGGACTTGGTGAAGTGGGTAAACAATACTCTCCTCACTTCGTGCGATATGTCCATGTCAAGGGTGAGGATAACGGCGGACAGGGGTCGTGTGGTGCCATTGTGGTCGCGGGAAATTGCACTACTACAAGGGGCAGCTACAACGGCAAGATGACGTTATTTAAGGGCCAGAAGAGGTGGTGATCYGGTCAGGATTAGGGAGTGTTTGGAGGACAGGAGAGAGAAAAGAAAGAATCTAGTCCGTGCCATAAGGAGGGCCAAGGCCTCAGCTTGGAGGGATTTTATTGCAACGATTGAAGATGATCTTTGGGGGAGACCCTACAGGCTGGTTATGGGTAAATTAAGGGCTCGTGGTGTTCTTCTGACTGAGGCATTAGATCCTCATTTATTGGAAAGGATTGTGGCGACGCTGTTTCCGGAGGGCGTAAGATCAATTGCCCCAAATGTTGAGGTGGGAGATGCGGAAGAAGTAGTCGTCACAATTAGGGAAGTACAAAAGGTTGCGAAAAGAATTAACCTTAGGAGGGCACCGGGTCCTGACAGGATCCCTGGCCTAGTGGTGAAGAGAGCGGCAACACATTGTGGTCGAGGTTTGGCAGAGTGTTTCACCATGTTGCTAAGAAGTGGAGTCTTCCCACGRGTGTGGAAGAGGGCAAGACTTGTGTTGCTAAAGAAGAAGCATGATGGTGATGATAGTGCGCCCAATGCATACAGACCCATATGCCTGCTGGACGAGGTGGGGAAGCTCTTCGAAAGGGTTGTTGTCTCCAGGGTAAGCGAGTTTCTTGATTGTGGAAATATTTTTTCTCCACGTCAACAGGGTTTCAGGGTGGGACATTCTACCCTCGGAGCCATTGGAAAGTGATAGATTACATACAGGAGTGCGCGAGTAATGGACGGGTGGAAGTGCTGACTTTACTGGATATTAGCAATGCGTTCAACTCGCTCCCTTATGAGACGTTGATAGAGTCAATGGTGGGAAGTGGCTTCCCCACCTATCTTGTAAATATCATTAAAGATTATTTTCGTGACCAGCTTCTGTCCTTCATCGGAAGGCAGGGCACTGAATACAATGTTAGTGTGATGTGTGGGGTTCCGCCGGGCTCTGTCCAAGGCCCCACACTTTGGAATATTGCGTATGATAGGGTCCTCCGAGTTTCGCTGCCGGGGGGGTCTCGTGTGGTTTGCTATGCAGATGACACGGCCCTCCTTTCAGCGGGGCGGGATCTGTCTTGCGCAATATCAACAACTGAAAAGGATCTCGAGGTCCTTGTGAGTGAGATTGAGGGATTAGGCCTAAAAGTGGCGCTTTAAAAAACGGAGGCAATGGCCTTCCCTGCCTCTGCCTTACGCAGACGCAGGATTGCTCCTCCTCCTGTGAATAGATACAGGGGGGTTTGTGTTGTAGTAAAGCCCAGTGTGAAATACCTTGGCATATTTTTAGATTCAAGTATGTAATTTAGGCCCCACATTAGGGCCTTAATCTTGAAAGCGGAAGGGATCCTTCAGTCTATTGGGAGAATCCTTTCGAATCTCCACGGGCCGAGGGAGAAGAAGCGGCGTCTCTACAGCAGCGTGATCAACTCCGTGCTCCTTTATGGTGCTCCGGTGTGGTAACGCGCTGTTGGGGAAGATCAGAGGATCAGGAGGGCTGTTCGAGCCTTGCAAAGAAGGGTAGCGATCGGGGTGTGTTGCGCCTATAGGACGGTTTCCTTTCATGCGGCAATGATGGTTGCGAGAGTCATTCCCCTTGACCATTTGGCGTCGCGACTGGCGAAAGTGTATGTGACCCTTAAGAATGCGGAGGGATCTGTCTCTCCGGATATTAGGGCGGCACTGGGCGCTTTTGCTAGGATGGGGGCGATTGCCGTATGGAAGGAGGAGGAGATCAGGTTGATAGGAGTTACAGGAGAGACAGGGTTGCGGGTTAGGGCAGCTATTGCTGACAGGTTGGATGAGTTTGTTAGGAGGCCGTACTCCATAGGTACGACCTTCCACACCACTCAGCTGATGACTTGCCATGGCTGCTTTCCCGCGTACCTGTATGGAATCAGAAGAAAAGACTCCCCGCGGTGCTTTCATTGCGAAGCGGATAGAGACGATGCGGAACACACTCTGATCGAATGCCCAGCGTGGACGAATGCGAGGGATTCCTTGGTCAGAGAGTTGGGGGGGGTGCCACTTACCCTTCCTGGGATAGTTAGGTTTTCCCTGGATACCCCGGGGGCCTAGGTTGCATTCCAGTCCTTTTCAGGACTYGTGATGAAGGCCAAGGAAGACGCAGAGAGAGAGAGAGAGAGCGAGTGTTTCTCAATAGAAGAAGAGTGTGTGCGAGGTCGCAAAGGAGAGTAGCTCCTAGGCGGCCCCCCTGGGCGAGGCTTTAAGCAGCTTTGGCGGCGCCTGACCTGGTCTAGTGCGTCGCTTCCCCTGAATAAGAGAAGTATGAGCATGCTGATGCATGGGATTCGTGAGCCCGACCAGTGCATCTTGGGATGGATGGTCGGGTATGTACATATATATAAATATGTAGTATAAGTAGTAGTTATTTAGTTAATAGTTAGTTAATTAGTTTGTTTCTTATTGAATAAGGTATGAGTGTTGCGTAAATGAGGATGAGAGTATGGCAAACCGGCCAGGCTTAGCGGGATGAAAGAATAGGTGTGTTTGTAATGTGATTAGTATCACGGATCCGCTTCCTTTTGTCCAGCGAGTTTCTGCACCAGGTGGAAATTTAGTCCGTAAGAATCCGACACTTCCTTGAGTACCGGGCTCAAGGGGCATAATGAATGTTTTCCCCCTGACGTAAAAAAAAAAAAA